AGAAAGAAAAACTCCTAACTACTTAACGAAAAAACTTCAAGATTAAAGAAAAAAAAAAGGGAAGTTTCAAACCAAAAGAGAGAATACCAAGATAAATATTACAAAAAAAACTACATAAAACCCCTAAAAAAAAGAAAAAAAGAAAAAAAAGACAGGATAAAAAAAGAAGAAACAAAAATGACAGAAGCACTATTATAACTCATGCCAGGTTAAAAAAATATTATACATGTGACTTCGGGATAATGTATATTTCACATAATACTAATGAAAGCACCTAAAGCGAATTTAAAACCTTTCATATATTAAATCCACAAATAGAAATCTCCACATGCTCGGCATGTGTTTGTTGTTTCTCTAATATGCCATATCGCAATGGCAACTTCTAAAAATGGAAGTGGTAAACAATGTTGATTGTTTGGAGGGGAGTAGCCAAATCCCCACATCTTTTCGAAAAAAGTTAGTAAAAACGACAACAGGATAAAAACAAGTGCAGGAAATTCAAAACCTCGAAAGAAAGTGTTGAAAACTGGAAAAACTAATATACCCCTGGGTCCCAAGAAAGTCCAAATAGTTTCGTCAATAGAAGAAAACATATCTCCACCAAAATTTACCACACCAAGAAGTGCCACCTGCCTTTTCCTCCTTTGTATAGTTTGCTTCTGGCTTGCATGCTAAATATAAAGAGGAGTCACCAAGAGAAGGTTAACACTTTGTTTGTCTTTAAAAACCACTATTGGTAACCTCTTGAGACTGTAGACTATAGAACTTTGTTGACAGAGATTTTGTCCACCAAAATTTTTTCCGGCCAAGAGTGCCACCTGCATTTTCCTCTTAGCAAAGCTTTTGGCTTGTATGCCGAATGAATAGTAAGGAGTCTCTGGAAACGTTAACCTTTACTACAAACTGTTACTATAGCTACTCAACTCTCCACCAGTTTTAACGTTTTTCTTTTAGCAGAGAAAATGGTACAGGTGATCGTTGGAAAGAGTTACTGGTATTGAAATAATATTATTAGTTATTCTAATTTATAGATAATATTTTGAACAAATCAAATTGACAATTTTTAGATTAGAGCTTTAACCCAAACCAAAATTTTAAAACTAATATATTAAATTTTTTTAAAAAAATAAATTTAATTACTTTTATATATTTAATAATTTAAGTAATGATGAATATTGAAGTTGGTTAATTGGTGATCCACCAGTCAACTAGAGAGTGATCATAATAAAATATGACTCAAATTACTTATAAAAATTGAGAGTTTTCAAATGTGGTGTGTATATATCTAAAACTTTTTTTATACTAAGTTAATTATTTTTCTAATTTAAGAAACTTTTGTAAAGCTTATCAAGATATATTTAATAATGGTTAAAGCGTCAAAATCGGCCTGGTGAGTACTGAGATATTTTTAAAAACATTTCTTTTACTATGTAAACTTCTTTACAAACAATAATATTGTTTGCAAAGAAGTTTATATAGTAAAAGAAATGTTTTTTAAAGATATCTTAGTACCTACCAGGCTGATTTTGATGCTTTAACCACTATTAAATACATCTTGACAGGCTTTACAAAAGTCTTTTAAGTTAGAAAGATGATTAATTTAATATAAAAAAGTTTTAAATATGCACACACCACATTTAGAGACCTCCAATTTTTATAAGTAATTTGAGTCACATTTTATTATAATCACTTTCTGGTTGACTAGTGGACCATCAATTAATAAAATTTAAACACAGTATGCTTATAAACTTACCAGGCTACTATAATAAGAATTGTATATTGTATATTCAGAATTAATAAAAGTTTTTTTATTATTCTATAGATTTATAAAATTAATATAAAAAAACTTTACTGATTTTGCTATTTACAGATAATCAATTTACAAATAGTTTATTTCAGAGACTTTATTTTACTAATAGCTCAATTATTATTATTAAGTGTAGATTAGAATTATATTTAATATTATAGTAAATTATAATAAAAAATAACAAACATAAACTGTCTACAAAGTAAGTTTATTTGTATACTAATTTATACTTATAATAGTTATTAGTAAATAATTCAAATTCTAAAATCCTGGCTTATCTATTTCAATATAATATTAAAACATTCTAGGCTACAACTCAATATAAAGCTCATCTGGTTAATGTAATAACTTAAAGCTATAAATATTTGAAAGCTTTAATCTTAATAAAACTTCTAATTAAGTACAATCTACATTTTGTATCTTGAATAATTTCTTCTAAATATTTATATTAATAAGTATTTTTTAAAATTATAATGAATTGGATTTGCTCATACTAGATTTAGTATATTATACTAAATTTAATATATAATCAAATTATTAATTTTTAAAATTACCTACTATATTTTATATTATAATTTAATTCTTGGATATTTTGTATAAAAAATAATAACTTTAAATTCTTTTTTAAATTTTATAAAAAATATTTTGCTTATAGTATAAAACATCTAGTTACTGTATATCAAAGTGCTGAATTTTGAAATATATATCTAAATATATATAGTAGTGCTGAAATTTTAATATTTAGTACTAAAATTTAAAATTTAGTATAAAATTTTAAAATTTAGTGCTGAATTTTTTAAAATTTATATAATAGTGTTGAAAATTTTAAAAGAGATTGAATAAAAAAAAAAAAAGAGAGAAATTAAAATTTGAAAAAAAAATTTTATATATTAATTTAATCTATTAAAAAGTATTTTATAATATAAGTGCTAAATTTTTTATATTTACTAATAATAATAAAATAAAGTGCTAAATTTTTTAAAATATTAATAAATTAAAAAAAATTTAAACTAAAATAACTTTTTAAAAAAAAATTCTTTATACTGATATTCTTTAGGTCTCAAATAATATTATTATAAAAAGTTTTATTTAATTGCTTTTTTTTAAAAAAGTTATTAAACTTTTATTGCAAGCAATTATTTTTTGATAGGACTAGATGTCCTGCACCATACAACTATTAGTTTAATCTAATTTTATATAGTAGTTTTTAGCTACCTTATAAGATATTTAGGCAAGAGGTCCCTATTGGCTTGGAAGTAGGTTATATAGTCAGATAGTTTAAATGAACAACTCTGTAGTTGGGTTATAGATATGGCAAATAGCATAAAACCTTCAGATGGACTACTTAAATTAGGCACCAAAAGTGCACATGTGGCTTGATGTACTTTTATTGTAATTAAAATTAAACTTCTTATAATAAACTCACTAGACCAAAGAAAGTCTCCTTTAAAAAAAATAAAAATAAAAAAATACATTATAAATATATACTGTATATATCTATTTATACTGTACTAAAAATCAATCTTAAATTTTTATGTAGTAGAATTAAATTATAAACTATAGTACTAAACTTAACAATTTAAATATTATAGTATATACAGTACTATACTATACTGTATTTTAATTTGATATCAGCTATTATATATTTTACAATATATATATATACAGTTTTTATTATATATTTTTTCTTATACATATACGTATAAAATTATATACAATACGTACGTATCAGATATATATTTTTATTAATACTACAATACGTAATGTACAAACGTACGTACGTACGTGTACGTATGTTTGTACGTCTGTACATAATTAAACCTATTGTAAATCTAATTTTGTTTGTTTGTATAAATAATGACTATTAAATTTGTATATTTGCGTAACTGCCTTCTATATTAGTGTATATTGTAACATTTTGTTACCATTTTATTGATAAGCCAAAAAAAAATTGTATATACAAATTATAAACGGCAAAACTACATACAATAATTTAAATATTGAAAGAAAAAAAAAAAAGAACGGCACTCTTAAATCCCGCTCTGCCACGAAATTGGGATTTACATCCTTCTGACAGGCAGGTAACGCGAAGAGGAGCATTGACTAGTTAATATAGGTTAGTATAATATAGCTAGTAAAAGTTCATTTAATCTTACATACGTATGTAACACGATAGGCATATTGCAAATATCACAAATATATTAACTATTCTATAAGGGACAATGTAAAAGAAGAATATTGTAAATATGGGCGGTAAATGAAGTGATCGCATGTGCGTGTAGCCTGAAAAGATTATACAGAAGAATTTTTAAAATAATTATGTATAAATCCGCCAAATAACAAGTTAAGAACAATCACATGAAAAAAAAAAAGAAAAAAATCTTTGCGCCCATTTAAAAGCATATTTAGAATTATTAAAAGATATTTTTGAAATGCTCAATATAAATATATATAGTACAGTAGTAGATGGTGCAAGTTAACGAACATATTTTATAATATATTAGCTAAGCAAGACCCTGTTTAAGTCACTTTTCGTCACATTTCCACCAAGGGAATGGTTCTATCGATGATGGAGATGATCTTATTGCGTAAAATGTACGAAACATTAAAGATCCGAGATCATCATATTAATATTAATTGGTTTGGCAGGTTTCGAGTACAAGTGTAACGAACTGCACATGGAAATCATCCGGGGTATAAATGAATGAATGCGCAGAAATTATGATCGAACATGCTGCAAGCAGTTGAAAATCAACATTATACATACTCGGAAAATCAACAAGATGCTTAAATGTTTTTCTCTTAGGTGCATCATTGCTTGATTGCATGAGACACCTACTGTTTGAATCATGTGATTACTATTTATCAAAAAAAGTTGTGGTGACAAAGTCGCTCAACAGGAAATCATCACAACAGTTTACATTCTTTCACACTATTTTCACGAGTTTAATCGATTGTCTCGATAATACGTCAATTTAAAAGTACACTCTAGAAGTATTCCTCAAAATATTATCACATCATTATTGCATCATGAGGCTTCCAAATAAAAAAAAAAACTTATAAATAAGACGATGTCTCCTTGTGTTTTATCAAAAAAAAATATTAAACCTGAAAATTTTATAAACCTTTTTCTTCGTATTTACCGTATTATCGTAAAAAATCCTTTTTTTTTTAAAAAAAAAAATACATAAACATGACCAAAGTTATTGTAAAAAATATTTCAGCAACCGCTTCTGAAAAAACAGGTTTGTTAAAAATTATTCTTTCACTTTCCAAAGAAACATTTGTTACAACAGTATTTATTATAATCTACAATTTTTATATAATCTTTTATTATAATTTTTACTTATATCATTTTTTACTTGTTACGCAAATTAGTTAAGGATTTCTTCTTGTTCTGCGGCAAGATTAAAGAATTTGAATTAATAAAGTAGGTTTTTTAATTTTATTTTAGGTATATTATATAATTATCTAATTATTATAATGTTCAATTTAATTAAATAGGGAAGAAAGTAGCGACAAACAAGTCGCCCATATCACATTTGAACGAGGTATTTATATCATAATCAAAACCTAATTTCATTTCATTCAATTCAATATTATAATTTTAACTTGTATTTTTCATCTATACAATAGAAACTGCCGCAAAAACTGCTTTAATGTTAACTAACGCCGTCATTGGTGACTCTCAAATAACTGTCTTACGCGCTGGTGACAACTCAATCGATGAGTGTGATGGCACACAAGATGGAGATGGTATAAGGCAAGAAGATAAGGTTAGAAATGATAAAGAACCTATTGTTAAGGTCGTGGCTATGAATTTTTGTTTGTCACGAATTTTTAAACTTATCGAACATTGTATTACTACAATCTTTTATTTTTTTATAAAAATAGCCAAAGTCTGCAATTTTTGCCGAAATTTTAGCGGCTGGATACCAACTTCAAGATACCATTATTGAAAAGGGTCTCGAATTTGACGGTTTATATCTTATTTTGACTTTTTAATATTTCTTTTGGTTATTTTTTTTTTTAATGTCTTGCTTATTAAAACTTTTTCAATTTTTTCAGCAAAGTATGGCATCAGTGCTCGTTTAAGCAGTTATTTATCAACAATCCAAGAACAACGTAAGTTGTTTGGGGACGCAGGTTGTTATTGGTGTTTAATTAATTTAAAAATTCATTTATATGTTTTTGACTACATTTCATATTCCAGTTCTATCGCTTGAAAACAAGTATCATGTCTACGAAACTGTTTCCAGCAAGGCCACTGAACTTGATTCTAAATATGAAGTGCAAAACAAGGTGAAATCTGCAGCATCACAGGTTCAAGATAAGGCCACTCAAGCCTTGGATACTTATCCAGGCAAACAACTTTACGAATTTTACTCCAACACTTCAAAACAAGTTATAGATGTTCACACTGAAGCCCGAAGAATTGCAAATGAAAAGAAAGCTGCTCAAATTGTAGATGCTTCTCATGCTTCTCAACAACAAGAGAAAGTCGAAACTCAATAAATATTATCAAATATGATTGCATTATTTTCTTTCATATTAATTTACTTCATAAATTGCCTTTTTTTTTTTTCTTATTCAATTAATATATATTTTTTTTGGATAAAAAAACATTTTATTTTAAAATCAGACGTTTTAACACATTAATATAGTTTAGAATTATTCTTTTACACTTTTATTATTTTAAAAAGTTTTTCATGATACACGTTTATTAAAAAAAAAGTGTAAAGAAACCCGCTTGTTAACAGTACAATAAACTCATTACTGTTAATACAGTATTTTTATTATTTTTATAAAAAGAAATCTGATTTTATTCATATATTGAATATAAAGAATACAATTGAACTACAAAAATTTCTCGTAAATTGTATGATCGATAAAATATGCACATGTGCTTTTATTAGGTTCGGATTTTGTGAATTCTTGAAACGGTTTAGGAAAAAATTGAAAGGTCACTTTGAAATTCACAATTAAGAAAGAGCAAATCTTTGTAAAACTGTTAAAACACATTCTTACGAAGGACTTCTAGCGTTGCAAACTTAATTAAATTTAAATGCTAAAATATAAATATTATTTAGTATTACAATCTCATCTTGCAAATAATTGTTATAATGCTTTTTATTGCTCGTACGTACGTAGTTTAAATGTACATATCAGATATAAGATATATTATCGGACTTTAAATGATGCAAAAATTTGTAATTTAATTACAGAATTAAGTTTGCAACGTTAGTCACGAAACTGTTGTAATTCTATTTGTTATCAGCTATAGAGATTCATACGATAAAATATACGAATTGATATAACAGGTAGAACCAAGAATAAAACAGGTTAAACCAAATATAAAGTAAGTTTTTTATTTATTTTAACGTAAAACTTTAGATATTCTGCAAATTTGCTATTTATTATCATTATGCCTAGTTTGTTTCAATCTAAAACGATTCAGATAAGAGTCGATTGAAGCTTTTAATAATCTTCTTTTTGTAGTATTAGATGCTTATTATATCACTATTTTACAGTTTTATTCTATATATTACTACGTAGAGCAGAACGTACGTACGTACCTAATTTAAGAAAGTAGAGCTATTACCCGGGTCAGAAAGATGCTTATTATATCACTATTTTATAATTTAAACGTACGTACCTAATTTAAGGAAATAGAGCTATTACCCGGGTCAGGAAATAATGACTCGGGTCATGACCCGGATTAACGGTCATATGGAATATTATTACATAAAGTTGATGTAGCGATTCTTATTTAGAGCGCCAATAGACAGTTATGTAGGTTACTCTTGGAGTTTAGAGTTTATTGAATTTTATAATTTTTTATTGTGCCTGTTATATTAATACATAACAAATACATACAGTAAACTGAACTTTGAAAAATCTTTCTGCGTAAGAAGTACTGGATCACTAGATTTTATCTATATTACTATATTATCCGCGAACTTTATGAATTTTATCCATGTAATCCATGACCCTTTAACCGGGTTTTGACCCACTCATATCAAGAAGTAAACTTCCGAGTAAGAGCTCTATTAGGAAGGCTACTAATTTACTATATATATGGTATTAATGTAAGCCAGTCAACCTAAAGAAAATAGTAACGTGAATTAATATTTTTAACCAATGAAAATAAAAATGAATTTTAAATATTGTCCCACTTTTAATTGCAATATTTATAATCCCGTTATGTATTTGATTAACCATATCAATATTACCCACCTTAATTCTAACCTACGAGCTATCCTAAGAAATATACTATGTAGGATAAATTATAGGTGGTAAATCAAATGTCTTTGCATCGCTAACCCTGACGAGATTTCGATGAGCAGTGTTTGATAGTAGCATTGATACACTAAAAATTATATTGAAATAAATCAATCATCTAGTTTTTTTTTTTTTTTAATTAACCAAGTTGAATTTAAAAAACAATGTCAAATTCTGATATTCAACCAACTTCTCTCGGTGAAGCTGATGATTTTGGTCACTCTGAACTTAGAACAAAAGAATAGTATGTTATAATTATTATCTATATATACTAGAAAAAACATCCAATTATTATTGAATTTTTATTTATGATTAAAAGTTGGGAATCACGATATGATCAAGAAAACAAAAACTTTAAAGATATTGGCGATATTGGTGAAATTTGGTAAAAAAAAATCTTTTTCTCTTAATTATGTCTAACCACAAATAATAACTTGAGCTTTCTTGCAAAAGGTTTGGTGAAGACAGTGTGGAAAAAATGGTGAATTGGGTAAGATCATCTTTATATTTACAATTAATTAAATAAATTATCATTCAGCTTTTTGTTTATATCTTCGCAGGCTCTATCTAAAGCCACAACATCCTCAACAATTCTTGATATTGGTTGTGGGAATGGCCACCTCCTTTTAGAGTTAGCGAGCCATAATTTTACAAATTTATATGGAATAGATTATTCATCAAATGCAATAAGATTAGCTAATGATGTCGCAAGAAGCCGTGGATTTGATATTTCATATTATGTCGCCGATTTATTTAATGATGACGTATTACAAATTGTTAAAAATACTGATGGTTCAAATAGTGATAGTTTACAAAATTTTGATTTTATATTGGATAAAGGCACGTTTGATGCAATAAGTCTCTCTTTACAACAAACTTCTACAAATCAGCTTTTGCGTGACATTTATCCTAAAAAAATTCGTTTTTTGCTTAATTCAAATGGATATTTCTTGATTACAAGTTGCAATTTTACTAAAGATGAACTGATAGAAAAGTTCAAGGGTGGTATGTGACTCTTTATATCAAAATCGGTGAATTTATGAAATTTGAAAATTACCCATTGGCCGTAGCTTCTTCGCGAACTATGGCTAATATTTTTCTATCTATCGAGTTGTGACGATCCGCTAAATTTACTAATTAGTTCGTTTTTTTTTTTTTTTGGTAGAATTTGATTATTGTGAACATATTAAATATCCAACTTTCACTTTTGGTGGAGTGACTGGACAGACTATATCAACAGTTGCTTTTAAGCCTAAAAACGAATAATAATAATAAATAATATCGATATCGATTTGTATTTTGATTTTTACTAACGTTTATTGTATATACTGTAATAAACACATGAACCTTTACTATAACGCTAAAGACATGTACTCACGTGATTTTCGAAAAATTAGGATACTGTAATATATAACGATAATGATCCGCAAGCGTAAAATACAGATTAGTTGATCATCTTTGTCACACGTTTAAGCAATTTAATTGGTTGAAGCTTTTAGATAATCATTCAACGATTATTTCTGTATTTGCTTCGAAAACTTTAAATCGATTCTTTCGATTAATTGATTTTTGATTCGTATTAGTTTGTAGTAGCTTAAATTTTTAAGGAGCTGAATTTGGTAATTGTAATTTAAAAGCCTGAAGCTTGTTTTTTTTATCAGTAATGGTATATTTACCCAATATAAGCCCCGCTTTGTTTTTATTAGAGTTTCGAGATGTCTTTATTCAGAGGTTTCGTCTTTCGCCGAGGATTTCACCTTGCGCCAAGGGTTTCACCCTTCTCCGGGGGTCTCGCCTTTCGCCAGGAGTTTCGTATTTCGCCTGAAATTTTACCTTTTACTAAGGAGTTTCGTCCTTCGTCTTTCACTGGCTTTAAGTCCTCCCGTCTTTCACCATTTTCAACAATGGTTCCACTTAACAATCAGCATACAGATCCAAAGCAGAAAGCTCATAGTATCATTGATGCTCTGCCTGGCAATTCTTTGCTTACTAAAACAGGTTATATTACTGTGGGCACGGGATTAGTAGCTTTAACTATTTCAAAGGAATTATACGTATTCAATGAAGAAACTGTAGTGTTATTGGCCTTTATTGGTCTCATAATTCCTCTTTATCGTGTACTCAGAAAGCCCTTCAATGATTGGGCTGAGGGACAAAAAACTGTAGGTATTACATAATGTAAACTATATAATAATTTGCAAAGGTGTTCGGTCTATTATTGTATTCTCTTTTTTATAATTTTTAATTGGTATTAAGCATGTCAATAGTATCCTCGAAAAAGCTCAGGATGATCATAAAACTGCAGTCAAAGAAAGAATTAATAGTATTGGTCAAATAGGTGATATTGTTGATATCACACAAGCATTATTTTCGATGTCTAAGGTAACTATATTTTTTCAGTTATCATTTTATATTTTTGAGATGTTTATAAATGATTACTTTTATTATTATTACAAAAAGGAAACTGCAAAACTGGAAGCTGAAGCTTTCGAATTGAAACAGAAAGCTGCTGCAGCTGCTGAGGTAAAATCTGTTTTAGATTCATGGGTGCGTTATGAAACTTCATTACGTGAACGTGAACAAAAAGATCTTGCTAATTATGTCATTGAACGTGTGATGGCTCAATTGCGGGATGAAAAAGCAGTAAGTTTGTTAAACGTAACCAAAAAAATAATTATTGTTTTTTATTAAGAAAAATTTTTTTTTGTTTTATAGCAACAAGAGATTCTTATCCAATCTATCGAGGACGTTGAAAGTGAGCGCAATTTTATTTTATTTTTTTCTTATTTAATTTTGAATTGATATTTATTTTTTATTTATTTATTTATTTAGAAATTGTTAATTCCAAGACTGCATAATACTTTTGTAGATTTTTTGATTATTTAGTCTTAATAAACTATAATGCAAATTGAGTAAAAAAAATCATTAATAAATTATTTAAATAATTATGTTTTGTAGTTTGGATATTGATTTATATTATAGAGTCTTTGAGAATATCACATTCATTGTCTACCAATCAGTTTAAACGATTTTGTATAATAATTAAAATTTAAAAAAAAAAAATTTAATTTATCTTGGAAATGTCAAATATAAAGTTCTTGAAATTTTAGAAATGACATACGTATATTGAATTAAATGCAATTCAAGTTTCTTGAAGTTACATTTTGAAAACTTTAAGATCTACACAATTCTTATGTACTACAGCATGAGTGAAATACAAATTTCGGCCTAAATTAATCTTAATTCGGGCCGAGCCTCGAAATAACGCCAGTGGTCAGTTTTACGATATCTATAAATAATAATATAAAATGTAGTCCTGTAGTCGCAATACGAATGATAAAAGACTTTATAAAAGTAATTGCCATCCAAATAATTAAAGAATTGTCTTGAAATACTTTTTGTGTTTAGAAACACGATATATACTATAATATTAAATCAAAATAAGTCTATGAAATCAACTTTCGTGACTTAAGAAAAAATACTCCTTGCGTAATTTTACTACATGCTATGACCTTTTCAATCCTAAATACAATTATAAATGAAATCCGGATGCCATCACCGCCCGCGACAAATAGGTTATTTCAATAAATTTAAATAAAAATTTGAAAATTTTTTTGAAAAAAATCTCTCTTTTAGTTTAAAATATAGATTCTGTCGAGCAATTAAGCAAAATTTTCAAAATAGTTAATATGTAATTTACAGAGGAGATACAATTTGAAATTTAAAAATCTTATATGAAACGACTATAAAAAATTATCAAATTTCAAATTGTATCTCCTCAGTAAATTACGTATTAATTTCTTTAAAAATTTTACTCTATTATTCTGCAGAACCTAAATTTCAGACTAAAAGAGCGCTTTTTTAAAAAAAAGTGTTATATACATAATAAATTTGATAAAATTTGCCGAAATTTGCGTTTTTTAATATAATTTGCATAGTGCATTTAACACCCTACCCCAACGTACAGTACTCTAAATAACGCGCAGGTCAATTAATTAAGCGTTATTTCGTATATATACGATACCCTTTTATGTTCTTTAGTCGTTGTATTTACTGTTTTTTTTTTCTTTGATTATTTCTTACAAATGTATTTCGTAAACAATCGTCAGACCGTTCTGAACTTACTTTTTTTGTGAAAAACGGTTGTTAGCAGTGCGCGAATTTATTTTAAAGTAAAGGAAAGTATATAACCAATCATCTCTTAATATCAATAAACCTTTACCAATAACAAAGTTAAAGTACCTGTGAGAAGAATCCCGGGTTGGTTACCAGGTATCAAACATCACAGTACTTCCTCTGTACCGAACCGAACCCAGGACTAAGTCCGATCAGCGGTGTTGTTAAATGGAAAAAAAAAATAAAAAATCCCTGATTTCAACTGCGAGTGGTGTGGTACTGCTGATTCAACGCGGGTGGGCTGGTGGGTGCGGTACTGCTGATTCAACGCGGGTGGGCTGGGTGGGTGCGGTACTGCTGATTCAACGCGGGTGGGCTGGGTGGGTGCGGCTAGGGTCCGGCATGGGCCGGCCCGTTAGGCCCATTGGGCTTTTTTGGAAAGTTAATTTGAGCCACATCCTAAAAGTGCCAGTCACATGATAAATCACCACGTGACTAGCACTATGAGATGTGGCCCAAATTAATTTTCAAAAAAAAGCCCAATGGGCCTAACGGGTGGCCCATGCCGGACCCTAGGTGCGGCACTGCTGATTCAACGCGGGTGGGTGCAGTACTGCTGATTCAACGCGGGTGGGCTGGGTTGGTGTGGTACTGCTGATTTTTCTTCTAGTGGAGTTCAGTACGGTTCCAGTGACTTCCATTCAACAACACCGTGTCAGGTGCATCGGGACTAGAAGTTATCCTCTTTGCAAAATAAAAACGTGTACCTTCTTTTTTAAAGACAAACGATTTTTTATATAAGGATATTTTTTTCGCATCCTTCGTTCTTCAAACATTAGCCGTAATATTAGGCATCCACTTATTTGTGCTGGTAATACAAACCTCTAAAAAGGAAATGGCCAATCGAAAAACGTAAAATGTGATGATCCCGGATCAGCCCGACACATGAGCAAAGCGAAGAAAAACACCAAAAAAGAGAAAATACTCAAAAACTACAACCTTTTTGGACTAATAAAAAATAACAAGAATGAAATTTTACATACAAGAAACTCAAATTATCACTAAAGCTCACAACCCTAACACTAACCCTAATGCTAACTCTAATGTCCTAATCTTAAACTTTTTTAGTTTATTTACAAATGTGATTTTCTTTTTGGGTTGTATTACTGGCGCAAATAAGTAAATTGTAATGGCAGCAGTACCTGGCTTGAGATACGGATTAGGAACTGAAGTAACATTTCGAGAGACACCAAACTGGAAGCAAGAAGAGTGCCCACTTCTAGAACACCAATTTGGAAGTTATACAAAAAACAAATTAGAAGTAATATGATAGGTGATGAGAGGTAGATTATAACTGGTAGATGTTATACAGTAGTATATATAGCGGGGTATATACAAATTAGTAAAAACATTAAGGTTCTGAGTTAAATCAGGACTTAGGGTGCTTCTTGATAGAGGTATCCAAGGATGTTCATCTCATATATAAGATGGTACAGATGGTTATATCTAAGCACCATATAGAGTAGCCAGATGAGGTCATTACAACTACTTAGATAGATTAAAATATATGTAATATCTGTAATATTCAGTTAAATAAGTAATAAAGTTAATGACAAAATCGTTAAAGTTTAATAAAATTTCATAGCAATAAAGTACATAAACAAAGCAGATTACAAATATACATACTAATGCTACAATATAGTCAGATTTTTCGAATGCAATTACTAACTTACATATACAGTTAACTCCCTCTAAGTGCATGTTGCTGGGACTAGTACTTTGACCTGTATTTAGAAAGAACTTGCAATTAGAGAAAAATTAAAATTATTAAAAATTTTATTAATAAAAAATAATAAAATCTTTAAAAATTAATAACTTTTGATCTATTGATTCAATTTGGATGATTTAGCTACCAAAATGATTCTCTTATAAAGTTGTTTCTAATGAATTTAAAATTAGCTAAACCTAATTACATAATCTTGCTTAAGATTATTAATAATTTGTATTATATTTGCTATAGTAAATATAACATAAAATATTAATAATCTCAAAATCATGTGATCAGATTTAGTTGATTTTAGATTCATTAGAATCATCTCTATAAAAGGATTATTTTGGCAATTAAATTATTCAAATTGGATCAATGATCAAAAGTTATTTTTATTTTTATTTTTTTTAATCATATAAATAACCCGTATTGAAGAATGGCCAGGCTTGTCAGGCTCAAGGATGTCAACACCGAGCCACCTGGACTATTTAAGTCAAATATTAGGCTAGCTTTCTTAGTGGGATGCCCAACCTTAGTTACCGCACTGATGTTGGTCACAATACCATTATACGTCGAGGTGTAGTGTAGATATCATATAACCTTAGGCCTCAGCTGCCCCATTGCTAGAGTACATGTCCCACCTATGTATTCACCCAGACTTCGGTAACTTTATGCCATAGCTTGACCCATGCACTTAGAGTCAGGGCTAGCCATTAAACCCCTGCAACTAACTAGTACAAGTACTGATCTAGTATATATATTACTATATATCCCGGGTCCCCCCCGCGGTGTTGCAGTTCCCAGATCCATTACCTTCCTAATTAGTTGCCTATTATCTACTTCTTGCCCTTATTAGGTTTACGGCAACCTTGGTACCCATATTCAGACCATCTTCTTACCCAGATTCTTGATCGGTCTCTCGCTTACTTCTC